TCAACCCTGGTGCTATTGCCTTTTTGATTTGAGCAAATTCTTCAAGAAAATGTGAAAGAATAAAGCCACTTGAACAGGCTAAAAAACGGATAAAGTACTGACTGACTTGGCATTGTATGTGTGGATTTTTTTTTAAAACTGTCCAATCATGTATGAACACGTGTCCCTTCTGTTTTCTGTCCTTAAGCCTGTGTAGTATGATTAGTATCTAATTTCATCACCATGACCATTTCCATTGTCCAAAAGTGACAATGAGTTGCAGCTTTAGTCGATGATGTTTTGTCTTTTGAACCGTTAGGAGGCTATTGACGCCTTTTAAGTTTCTTTTATCTTGGTTTGTATTAGGCTCGTCAATTATGCAATTAGTTTACACAAATAATTCAAAATTATCGAAGAAATTCCGTTTTTATTGTTTTTTATTTTTATCGTGAGCAAAATGATCTAGAAAATGCCGACGAATAATTTCATCACCACGATCATTTCCGTCATCCGAAAGTTATGATGAGTTGTAGCTTTTGTCGAGAATTGAACTGGGAACGTCTTTTAAATAAAATGTTTTGTCTTTGAACTTTTAGGAGACAATTGGTATCTTTTAAGTTTCTTTTGTGTTGGTCTATATTAGGCAAGTTAGTTATGTGCTTAGTTCAAAACTAATTCAAAATCACTAGCAAATTTTTAATTTGTTATAATAAAAAGTAAATATTTCATAAATTTAATTAACGACGAAAATTTCTTCGATAAATAAGTTAATAAAAATAAGAAATAAATACAAATGTTAGAAATTTTTGTCAATAATGAAATAACAATTAGAAAGAAAGAAAGAAAAAAAAAACTTATTCGACACTAGTATTATAAATAATAATTACAAGATATCTTAGGTTACTTATTTATATTTCATCGATAACGTTTTAGGGGGAAAAAAAATAAAGAAAGAGTTTCTTCTTTATAGCCGATCAACAATTGTAGCATTATAGGTGATTGTTGATGTTGTCATCGATGACATTGCTATTGGTAATTGTCGGCGAAGGTGCAATGACGATAAACGATTATATTAGTGTTAGAATTTTTTTGGGTAACACTAACTTCTCTATCAACGACGATATTTTTTTTTATCGATAATCACTGATAGATGTGTAATGGCGATAATCGATGTTACCAATGTTGGTAATTCTAATCGGAATCACCGATAAATAGTGATAAATATAGATTTTGTCATATCACATACAATAATATTGTCGCTTATCATTGACGATGTTTTTATCATTGATTATTTGCTCCATTTAATTTTTATAATTATTTTTGAAAAGTCTCGGTCTAGTTTTTTATCCCCCACATAACCTTGATTTCATTTTCATAATTCTAAATAGGAACTAATTAAGTCAGATTCACCTGTTACCCAAACTGACTACTCGATACATGTTCAATGGAGAAAAAAGAATTGTTCCATCCGTCCCCCCATAGTATCAATAGTTCCATTTCGCTTCTCATGATACCCACCTAAACTACTCGATGCCTACACTACCTCAAAGTTCCATCTTTCGTTCACATAGGCATTTTAGGTATGACGACGTCTTCTTAATTCACATGCGACACAAAAAGTGGTAAACGGTGAACATGATATTCAAAACTAGAGATGTGGAATGTTGTAATTTTTTAGACATGAGGAAATGTCTCAATATTTGTCACAAATCGAAGTGTCAAAGTAATTTCCCCCATTTTCATGATCCTTCACATTTTCAATTAGCGAATAAGAATTGAGATATGTTGAGTATCTATATAAAGCTTCTTTATAAATTAAAGCAGCATCCTATGTTAGTCCCAATAAAAATTTCGACACAAAATATAAAAAAAAAAAATGATTTTGTAGATCACACATGGTTAACTCAAAGGAGATGATGACAAGTAAATGAAGGTGAAGGGCTCTAAACCTTGGATCCTAGGCACGACATTGTTGGTACAATATATAAAGCATCACATAGAGCATGCTTACGAAGTTTTATATACGTAATAAATATAAATCAGTGATGGATAAACGAGTAGTATTTGTAGATCACTTTAAGTGTAGATAAAAAGTAATTTGAGTGTTTATTAACAATTTAAAATTAAATAATTTATATTACTATTCTATCAACTAGAGATGTATGATGTGTATCATTTGTTTTATTTTATTCTTTGTATTTGACATTTCTAAGGGAATTAGAATACAAATAAATACCAACTTTTCAATTAGTTTGATTGTGAGTCTCCAACCTCTAAATGTGAAATTTTGGATCTTCAACTTATTTAAATATTTGAATTTGGGTATGAACGTGAAAATTGCACTCGACTTTGACGTGACTTTAAACTAGAGATAAAAAATAACAAACAATAAAACATTCAACTTTAAGACCCCGTTTGATAGCACACATTTTTCATGGAACTTTTGTAGTGTTTGATAGGCAAAAATTTTTCGAGAAAATATTTTTTAACTTTCCACCTTTTTGAGGAAAATAAATTTTTGATATTTTGGTGGGTAAATATTTTTCAGTTTTTTTAAATTTTTTTTTTTTTTTTTGTTTGTGCAATTGGAAAAAATTCTAGATACAATGGTAAAAAAAAATTCACTTTTATTGACAATTACATGTAAAACAAAGCCAAACGAATAACATTCGGTATGATTCTTTTTTTTCATTATTATTATTATTTTTTTTTTTGCAATTAGAACAAATTATAGACCTAATGGTAGAAAACATTATCACTTTAATGGACAATTTTCATAAAAAAAGAAACCAAACGGATACTAAACTTTCAACATTTTCCATGAAAAATTATACCAATCAAACACAATTAATTACAATTCTCAGTAAAACAATTTCTAGGCAAATCAATTTCCTGTAAAATATTTTCTTTTCACATTTGCAATCAAACGGACCCTAAGACATAAAATTTGCTTGTAATTTTAACATTTACATTGACGGTTTTCGTTATGTGGGATTTTAGATTTATTAAGTTAAATACTCAAAATCTCGCTTTCGAAGGCTAAGGACCATAACTACGTTGAGGAAACCAACCATATCAATTTGGTCGGTTTTAAATGCGACCAACTTGCTAAAAAACAATAAATTGAAGACGAACATTAAAATTTCCCTTCATGATAATAGTAACACAACATAATCGTATAAATATTCAATGCTATCTAATTCATCGAGTAATTTTATTTATAATCAACTATTACAATAATCATTCTTAGGTGACACTATCGTCTCTACGAATAACATTGCTCTTTCCTAATTCGCATTACACATAAAATAAGAATAAACTCTATTTAGAATCCACAAAAGAGACAGCTCATCTTTTCATGTACCCTTTAGAAAACGTAGAGAAGAGAACCATCCAATAGAGAGAGAATAAAGGCATAGAAGTACGCTATCTCGTTCACAGAACTCTCTCCCCAAAAATTCTAAAAAATCCAATCAGACATCACTTAGCAGCAGACCATTTTCTGAGAGTCTAATGATCATCATTTAATCAAAGAAATACCCAATAATTGTTTCTTTAGACAGATACCCAATTGAAGCCTATCTTGTTTAATCAGAATTGAATTTTTTTTTTGGGTGAATTTTTAGTAAAAGTCACGTCACATGGGTTTTGAGGAATCTTGGGCCCCTATTACATGTAAACTTTATTACTGAGTTTTTTTTTATTGTTGCTCGATCTGTTGATGATCATAATGTACAGATTGACTTGCCAAATGTTCTGTAATTCCTTTTTTTTTTTTTTTGGTTTTCCATTTTTGTATATTTTTACTTGATTTTTCTATTTTTGGTGATGAAATATACTTGTTTGGTTAATC